CCTGCCAGCACCCAGCAAGCAGACCCTGCACATGGCACGCCATGAGCCAGCTACTCAATGTGGACATTCTAATTCAAACTAGTTTTTCATTCTAGATGCACTAGTTCGAATTAGCTTAGTTCGAATTAACTAATTCGAATTAAGTTAGTTCGAATTAGTGCTGTAGTGTAGACAGACCCGTCCTGAATAGACCTTCTTTCTTAGGCCTCCCGGATGTGTACCCTGGACTGATGGGCCTAGTGGATGGCAGCTGTCCTCGGCTGCTTGTACGCTCGCCCCTCGTGGCTGGCAGCTGTCCCTCACTCAGGGAGAAAGGCCTCCCCATTCCTTGCCACAATTTTGTGGAGGACACAACATGCCACTACCACCTCAGGGATGTTGTGCTTCCACACATTGAGGCAGGTCAGCAGGCATCAGAAACATACCTTGAGGAGGCCGAAGGCGCGCTTGACCTGGATCCTGGCCAGGGTCAGGTTGGCATTGAATTGGTCCCTGCTGGGGTCCAGCTGGTGGGTGTATGGCTTCATGATCCAGGGCATGAGGGGTACGGCACATCCCCCATGATGCACACTGGCATCGGCACATCCCCAATCGCTACGTCCCGGCGGGGGAAAATTGCAGGATAGGCTGGAGTTTCTAATGATGTGTGAGTCATGTACCCTGCCTGATCACCTGACAAAAATGTTCATGAAGTGTCCATGGTGGTCGACCTGGGCCTGCAGCAACATCGAAAAGTAACCCTTGCACTTAATGTGCCACGCAGCTCAATGGTCAGGTATGCAGATCAGGATGTGGGTCAATTGCTCCGCTGCAGTTTGGGAACCCCAGGGTGGCAAATCAGGCCACTATCAGGTCCAAGTCTCCCAGGGTATGTCTACACTAGCACGTTAGTTCGAGCTAGGTAGGGTAATGAAGGCAAGCGGAGTTGCAAATGAAGCCTGGGATTTAAATATCCCGGGCTTCATTTGCATGTTCCTAGGCGCCGCCATTTTTAAATCCCCCTTAGACCGAACTCCGTGCCCGTGGCTACACATGGCACCGAGTAGGTAGTTTGAATTAGAGATCCTAATTTGAACTACTTTTACTCCAAAAAATTAGAGATCCTAATTCGAACTACCGTTACTCCAAAGTTATTGGGGGGCTGGAGCACGTGACCTATGAGGAGAGGCTGAGAGATTGCAGAAGAGAAAAGTGAGAGGGGATTTGTTAGGAGCTTTCAGCTCCCTGAAGGGGGTTCTAATGGTGGCAGATGGCAGAATGAGGATCAATGGTCTCATATTACAGTGTGGGGAGGCCTGGGTTGGATTTTAGGAAAAACTATTTCCCTAGGCGGGTGGGGAAGCGCTGGGCTCGGTTCCCTAGAGAGGGGGTGGAATCTCAATCCTTAGAGGTTTTTAAGTGCCAGCTGGGATGATTGAGTTGGGCTGGTCTTGCTTGGGTAGTGGGCCCGGACTCGATGATTCCTGAGGTCTCTGAGAGAAAAAGAAAGAAAGACAAAAAAGGGAAAAAAGAGAGAAAAGAGAGAGGAAAAAGAGAAAAATGAAAAGAGAGAGAGAAAAAAGAAAGAAAGAAAAAAAAGAAAAAAGAGAATAGAGAGAGGGAAAAGAGAGAGAGAGAGAGAAAGAAGCAAAAAGTGAGAGAAAACTTCATATCCCTTTATGAGTGAAGAGACGGAGCAGCCTGTGCCGGATCTGTTTGGTCTTCACCCCGTAGATGATGGGGTTCAGCATGGGGGGCACCAGGAGGTACACGTTGGCGAGGAGAATGTGGAAGTTCAGGGGTATATTGTGGCCAAACCGATGTGCGAGAAAGGAGAAAAGGGAAGGGATGTAAAAGGATAAAATGGCACCTAGGTGGGAGGTACATGTGCCAAAAGTCTTGAGCCGGGCGTCCTTTGTGGGGAGTCTGAAGATGGCCCTGAGGATGAGAACATAGGACACAGTGATGAAAATGATATCCACACCCATCGTAGCCAAGACCACAAACAGACCATAGTAGTTATTGACACGTATGTCCGAACAGGCCATCTTTGCCACAGCAATGTGCTCGCAATAGGAGTGCGGGATGATGTTAGTTTGGCAGTACGGCAACCTCCTTGCCAGGAAGGGAAAAGGCATCGTGGATGTGGAGCCACGCAACATGACTGCCAAACTAATTTTGGCCACCACAGGGGTCGCCAGGATGGTGGAATGTCTCAGGGGATGGCAGATGGCCACGTAGCGATCCAAAGCCATGGCTGAAAAGAGCCCTGACTCTGTTATGGTGAAGCAGTGAATGAAGTACATCTGCATGAGGCAGGCATTGAAAAGGATCTCCTTGGTATTGAACCAGAAGATTGCCAACATTTTAGGTAGAATGGATGTGGACAGGACCAGGTCGGTGATGGCCAGCATGCAGAGAAAATAGTACATGGGCTCACGGAGGCTTGGCTCCCTCTTCACGATGAACAGGATGGTAAAGTTCCCCAAGACAGCTATGGCATAAGTGGTGCAGAAGGGGATGGAGATCCAGACATGGGCTTTCTCTAAGCCAGGGATGCCCAGCAGGATGAAGGTGGAGGGGTTGGTGAAGTGGGTTGTGTTGGAATCTGACATGGAGCAGGGGAGAAGGTCTCCAACTCAGAGGCAGAACAGTGTCTCTGGAATGTACCATATGTTCCCCTCACTTCCTGTGTGTTCGCTGGATCTACGGTGATGGTCGCAGTAGAAATGCAGACATGCCTGGATGGAGAGACAATGTTAGTGTGAGACTCTACATGCACTGCTGGAGGCTGTTCTCAAGGGGAAAACGGATTGGTCTCTCTTCACATACTGAAAAAGAACATTTTCATTATTCAGAAGAGTGGAAAAAAACAATTGACCCTAATAATGCCGAATCTGTATTTTATGGTGCTTGGTGTGTTGGTAATTCCTGCATATCTCTGCTTCAAAAACTATAATAGGCCTCAGCAAGAAACAAGTCTGTGGACTCTGGTTATCCCTCATTGGCCCTACAAGTAATTAAACCTACAGTCCTAGAAAAGTTGAGCATTTAATGGGTTGTGGATTTGAGAATTTGCAGCAATCTGATTAGTTCTTCAGAAAGAACGTCCAATTTTTATTCACATTTCTCTATCTGAATTTTCCTTTCGGTCAGTTTGGTTGATAGTTTACCTCACCTTTGGGAGCCCTTTTGAAGCACTTTCTCTCTACAGGTACTGCTGGTTGGAAACTGTTCTCTGTTTTTTCATTTGAATACAGTCATAGAATCCTAGGGTCAGGATCCTAGACCTCAGGAGTCATCGAGTTCAACCCCCTGCCCAAGGAAGGTCCAACCTCAACTAAATTATCCGAGTGTTCAACCCCCTGCCCAAGGAAGGACCAACCTCAACTAAATTATCCGAGTCAAGGTTTGGTCAAGCCGGGACTTAAAAACCTCTAGGAATGGAGATTCCATCCCCTCCCTAGGGAACCCATCCCAGTGCTTTCCCACCCGCCTAGGGAAATAGTTTTTCCTAATATCCAACTTGGACCTCTCCCACCGCAACTTGAGACCATTGCTTCTTGTTCTGCCATCTGCCCCCACTGAGAACAGCCTCTCTCCATCCTCTTTGGATCCTCCCTTCAGGAAGTTGAAGGCTGCTCTCAAATCCCCCCTCACTCTTCTCTTCTGCAGACCAAACAAGCCCAAATCCCTCAGCCTCTCCTCATAGGTCATGTGCTCCAGCCCCCTCAGCATTTTGGTTACCCTCCTGTGGAGCCTCTCCAATGCGTCCACATCCTTTCTATAGTGAGGGGCCCAGAACTGTATGCAGTACTCCAGATGTGGCCTCACCAATAAACATAACGTAAGAACATAAGAACGGCCATACTGGGTCAGACCAAAGGTTCATCTAGCTCAGTGTCCAGTCTGCCAACAGTCGCCAATGCTAGATGCCCAAGAGGGAGGGAACACAACAGGTAATCCTCCCATGATCCCTCTCCTGTCACCCATTTCCAGACAGAGGGTAGGGTCACCATTCCTACTGATCCGGGCTCATAGCCATTGATTGACCTAATCTCCATGAATCTATTTTGATTTTTTTGGAACCCTGTTAAAGTCCTGGTCTTCACCACATCCTCTGGCAAGGAGTTCCACAGGTTGACTGTGCATTGAGTGAAGAAAAACTTCCTTTTGTTTGTTTGGAATCTGCTGCTTCTTTCACATCAAAGGTGCTGTGCACCTGCTGGGGATTTGGGCCTGAATCTTTCCAGGCCGAGTTGAGTTCATTATTACATTTGGTTTTAAAGCAGAGCATTCCTTAGTGACATACCAGCAAAAAACTGATACACTTGAACCTCTGTACTCCGGGTGTCCCTAATTTGGGGAACACCTGTTATATGGAGGAACAAATGGTTCTGCATGCTGCCACGCCCTGTCTCTCCAGCTGGGAGCAATGGCAGCACAGTGACATGCTTCCCCTGTGGATTTTCCCCACCGATCCCGTCGTGCTGCGAGGAGAGGTGGGGAGCCTCAAGCCACATGTGCCCCTAGGAGCAGGGTGGCAGGTGCATGCTCCATACCCTGCCCCTCAGGCCCAGATCCCACAGCGCCCTTCCTGGCCTGGCAAAATATTTAATCCAGCATGTCCTATTTCCTAGGGTTGCCAGATTAAAGAGGTGCAAGAGGGTTTTTTTGTTTTGTTTATTTTTAAAAGATTAAAGAGGTGCAAGAGGGTTTTTTTGTTTTGTTTTAGTTTTTAAATGCATTTAATTAGAAAATCGTAGCAGTGGTTTTGTCGTGTATCTATTAATACGTAACTAATCACACTAATTTCACACAGAATTTTTAAAGGGTTCTATAGTTTAAAAAAATGTTTTGCTCCAACATTCAAGTGGTTTTGTTTAGTTTACTGAAGGGAGAGTACTTTGCGCCATCTAGTTCCCTGCTAAAAAGGTCTTGGCGGGAGGTCAGTAAACAATCCGACTGCCTAGTTCTCCTCTCAGAAAAGGCAGCTTAAGAAACGCTTTGTACTGAGGCTTTTAGAAGATCAAGATGATAAATACTATTGAACCAACGGGAAGAGGTGGTGCTTATGCCCCTCTTGTGAAGTGATTCTCCTAACATGCTCAGTCAAATACAAGTTATTGTATTCTTCCCGTTTGTAAATATTTGGTAGTAGCCTTATCATTTCAGCAGACGGTAATGTTCAAGTCATGTTGAAATATGCAATGCACTGAAATACTCTTCAATCAATGTGTCTCAGATCTCTTGAGTTCTCCATGGATTATATCTTGCAATTGCAGCAAAAGGCTGTTTGAATGGTATGTACGAGTCGATAGAAAGCTTTTGTGACAAAGACTCTTGACAGATAAGTCCAGACTCACTGGAAGGGTATGTCTAGACTGCATCCCTCTGTTGGCAGAGGGATGCAGATTAGGCAGGTTGACATTTCAAATGAGGCAGGGATTGAAATATCCCGTGCCTAATTTGCATAAAAATGGCCGCCGCGTTTTCCTGACTCAGCACTTTGTCAGCAAAAAACCGCAGTCTAGAGGGGGATCTGTTGAGAAAGAAAGCCTTTTTTGACAGATCCCTTATGCCTCCTGCATAACCTAGACTGCTGCTTTTTGCAGACAAAGTGCTGAGTCGGCAAAACACAGCGGCCATTTTTATGCAAATTAAGCACGGGATATTTCAATCCCTGCCTCATTTGCAATGTCGACCTGCCTAATCTGCATCCCTCTGCCAACAGAGGGATGCAGTCTAGACATACCCTTCCAGTGAGTCTGGACTTATCTGTCAAGAGTCTTTGTCACAAAAGCTTTCTATCGACTCGTACATACCATTCAAACAGCCTTTTGCTGCAATTGCAAGATATAATCCATGGAGAACTCAAGAGATCTGAGACACATTGATTGAAGAGTATTTCAGTGCATTGCATATTTCAACATGACTTGAACATTTTTGGATCAGTTGGGCTTTTTGTTTTCTTAGTAATGGGCACTTTTACAAAGCATATATATATTATACAGTCCCAACATCCTTGTACCATGTGGACTCTAATTGATGAGGATATAAATATAACTTGTATGTCCACATCCCCTCTGGGAAACCGAGGCTCATCGGAGCCTTCGAAACAATGGTGAAAAATCCAAAATCACTTTCTTCTATGCTATGCAGCCTAATTAATTATGGAAGGGATCGCTTGTATCATCTGAACATTGTTGTCTTCAGCTACGATTTGAGGAACTGTCCTAGAAGGCAGTCTGAGCTGAGAGTTAGGGCACTGGTGTGGGATAGAAGAATCCAGTGAATTGGTATCAAGCAGACTACTTGAAGGGGCTTGGAAGTGCCTCTTGGGACACCCAGGTTTTTGATTACCTTTGTTGTCACCGGCTTCCAGCATGAGGGAGTCTTGCCCGTGTTGGTGAGATGGTAGCTCCCAAATATGACCAACCTGTTAGCCACTGAAGTATTCTCCTCTGGGCTACAATCAGCCTGACTCTTTTGCTCTGTAGATGCACTACCCACCTGAGCCCTTTCAAAGGGTCACCCTTTGGTATCCAGCCACAACCCTGGGTTGCCCACAGAAATCCCAAATATTTCATTCTTAGAGTTTTACCTTAGCACCCCCCGTTCCTATATCAATTACAGTGAACAAAAAGAAATGTATTCAAGAAATGTCGAATAAAAGGGAATAATCACTTCGCTAGATCTGCTGGCAATGCTCCTCTTAATGCAGCCTAATAGTCCATTAGCCTTCCTGGCTACAAGGGCACACTGTTGACTCATATCCAGCTTCTCATCCACTGGAATCCCCGAGTCCTTTTCTCCAGAACTGCTGCTTAGCCAGTCGGTCCCCAGCCTGTAACAATGCTTGGGATTGTTCTGTCCTTGTTCTGACTCTGCACTTGTCCTTGTTGAACCTCATCAGATTTCTTTTGGCCCAATCCTCTAATCTGTCCAGGTCACTCTGGACCCTATCCCTGCCCTCCAGCGTATCTACCTCTCCCCCTAGCTTAGTGCCATCTGCAAACTTGCTGAGGGTGCAATCCATCCCCTCATCCAGGTCATTAATAAAGCTGTTGAACAAAACTGGCCTTAGAACTGACCCTTGGAGCACTCCAGTTGAAACTGACCGCCAACCAGACGTCGAGCTATTGATCATTATATATTGGATCCGACAATCTATTCAGTTTTCTATACACCTTACAGTCCTTTTATCCAATCCATACTTGCTGGCAAGAATATTATGGCAGACTGTATCAAAAGTTTTGCTAAAGTCAAGGTATGTCATATCCACTGACTTACCCATGTCTACAGAGCCAGTTCCATCACCAGCTAAACAGATTGGTCAGGCATGACTTGCCCCTGGTGAGTCCATGTTGACTGTTCCTGATCACTTTCCCCTCTTCCAAGTGCTTCAAAATGGATTCCTTGACAATCCCCTCCATGACTTTTCCAAGGACTGAGGTGATGCTGACTGGTTTGTAGTTCCCTGGATTGTCCTACTTCCCTTTTTAAAGATGGGCACTACATTGCGAGTCAGGTCTATTCTTTTTTTTTTTATCCTTCACATACCCCCTTCTTTGTTTCCTTTGTCGACCGCGCCACGTCTAGACTGCCGTGCTGTGCCAGA